GATTTAGCCTGTTGTAGCTTCAGTCGGATGATTACCACCCTTCCGCTGATAGGCTTCCAATCGATTATTCAATCGGTAAGGTCGCCAAACAAATCGTCTAGTGGAGGTTCGATGCCATTCAACATATTCAGTACTGAGGCTATATAACATGATTATAATACTGCTGTTTTGGGGGCTGATTTTAATTTGCATCATTAAGCCTTTCCTAAAGTCACAAATGTTCGGAAAATTCGTTAATTCCAGTCCGACATGCACTGAGTTCAAAATCACAGCAACCAAAATAAATCAAGATTGATTCAAGATACTGGGAACGAAAAACCTTTTGCATCGCTATACTATTTCACTGCGAACTTAGAATCGTTTCACACTTATGCGCGAGAAACCGTCTAGTGACGTATTTTTAGGCGCCGTCGCAACCCACATAGCACTCACAGACCCACAGGGGTCAAAGAACTTTGCAGGAGTACTAGTAGACTACTACAGCATGTTAGGAGTACCACTTGATATCTCGAGTGAAGTCGCCGATTACCAGTAAATTTCGTGCTTTTTCACATCCCCGGGGTTGAATAACAAAAGGAAATGCGCCTAGCCTTTAAAGATTTCACCCCAAAGTCGAATCTATCTGACAGCGATGATTTGGTACCGCGAGCGAATTTTACCCGTTTATAAACACCAACTTCGATTGGACGCGGTCTAACTTTCCAGATTCCTCAATGATGACTTACCGTCGAAGTTGGTTGGTGATGGACTGAATCTACGGCTGCAGCATGGACCCATACTCAGGAATAACTTATGCACAACGTCTTTCACGGAGGCTGAGTCACCGATCATCAATGAATGACGGTGATGATCAACGAACTTGAATCTGTTGTTTAACATGTGAAACAGAAGGCAATGGTATGAAAGTGAAGAATGAGCTGACGAAAGAAGGAAAGCAACGGGAATTTTCCACTGCTGATCGCTAGCCGACAGATTCAAGTAATAAGCAACGATGGGGTCCATCGGTGTAATCTGATAGATAGCAGGAGTAAAACCAAATTAGTTTTCTTTCAAAACTTGAGCAGTTCGAAAATCGAGACCTGAGAGGAAGAGAAATTTTCCATTACCATTAAGCAAAAGAATTACTGCAGCTGGAGAGAAGAGGATGATGTGTAGAGAATCCGCAGAACAGATGTGTAATGGTGGATAGCTGCCACTTTCGTTCTGCCATATCTGACTATCCAGTTTTCCCCCGTTGAGATAACAAGTTGCTAATTGGTAAATACGAGTTATGCATACAAGTATGGTTGAAAGTGCATATCTCTGTACCTTTTGCATTCACTGGTTCAAAAGTGACAATAATGTTGCAATCACAGTCCACTTCATAATAACATAGTCTTCAAGCATACGCGCATATCTATCAGGAAATTCAAAGACAAACTGGCATTCAAAACAAATCGTTTCTCATGAATATAAGTATATAAAAGATCAATAACCATCTCAGTCTATTATTTCACCCCCCCCCCACCACCACCCCAATTACATATCTTGGAATAATTGAAATATTTCTCTAAGGGCAATAAAATGACAGGAACCAAAAATCAGCTCGATTCAACGAAAAGCATTGACGAAAATACAAGTCAATTTTGTGGTCAATTAAATTAAATTACGATTCAATGTAATACATAATGTTCTGACCTGGAAACCACAAGATACCTAAAAAGTATGAGAATTTTGCTCGAATCCGTGTTTTCTTCCATTTAAAGGGTAGTAAATTATAAACGGTTTCACACACTAATCGACACTGTCTTTCACCCCCTACTTGGTTTAACTTCCAGCTCAATTGCAGATAAAGTTTTTTGGTATTTTCTCCAAACAGCCATCTTTCTTCAAAATATTCTGGCATTTGCTCCTGCATATTCCAGAAATATAAGAATTGGATATTAGATCATTTAAGATCTATTAACTGGCTCTCAGGTTCTTGCAAAGGATTTGTAACAGTTACCTACACGACTACACTTCGAATTAGTCACTGAAATCGTGTTCCACACCCCTGTTAGCTCGGTTTATACATAAAAAGCTAGAAACCGATCGGAAGAATGACAATAATGGGCAGAAGTCTTAGACTTAATTCTTTTGCTGACCACAAAAGGAAGGAGATTTCGATCCCACCCCGCATCCGAAATCAGTCCGAAACCAAGAACGCACTATTCTGTTAACTATTGTGCGACGACGACGGCAAAAATATGATCTATCGTACATGGAAGTACAGAGCCGTGAATTGATCGCCTTAATATCACATTCCTCTGCCTTGCAACAACAAAACGTCACCGGAGTTTCCCTGGCGAAGTTCAACATTTGCAAATCATTACTTAACTGATGGCTGCATGCCAGAATTCGAACTCAAGGGCCCCAAAACCTTACACGACAAATCGAGAAGCTGCCCTGTGCCGAAAATGCCGAAAATCAGTATCTCGATTAGCATGCGTCCCCATGCTACGCCATCCAAACGACATCGACATTCTAACAAAAACGCTTAACGACCGCTTATAACAAACACCATGTCGCTCTCCCTATTTGGCATACTAAATCGCTGGCATTCATTTTTGAGGTCCAAATCTACTACCACGCTTTAATTGGTGTAAAACGATCGAATACCATTAGGTTATGTCAAGAATATGACCGTGTCTAAGAACTATCGTGGCGGAGCAAAGCAACGAGAAATTCATTGAGCTCAAACAACGAAGGGCACTGTTTACAGCATAAAGTGCTTAAAGGTTTGTTGTAACTTAAATGCTTATTACAGTGCCTTTTGATTTCTATCCATCTCGTTATGACAATTATGATAGCCATGATGTCAAGCAGCGACCACGGCGTTCGAAATGTACGTCATTTATCAAAATGATTTTATTTTTACTTTGATATCTTCAGCCATGTAACTAGGAAGATTATTGCTGAGTTATTAAAACCTTTAAATGACAATTATGAACTACCGTTATGAGCCTATACAAACTGTATTATACGATAAACTATATTATTATACACTTACATTCTACTGGAACAAATAATATGAACTGTTGATACGAAATGACTAATTAAACTTCCTATCAGTCGTATAAGTCTTGCAAAGTGACTGAAGTCGGTTATTCTTACCGGTGTCATCGAAAACCAGCATGTTGCCAGCAAATCCATAATACCGGGGTAATTTTTTTTATCAGAACTGCGTAATGACTTGCTAAATAGGAAGACTGCCACTGCTGACAGATCAAAACATGGTTAAGTAGCACATCAGCAGACAGATCGAGAACCCACTTTTCACTTGACTCAGAGGCCTTGTTCAGGATGATCGGGAAGTACTTTGTTGAGACCCCGGTGCAGCGGTTCGTCTCTGTTCGAGAAACCTTGCTAATAACGTAGATTAAATCACTCTCTTATACGAGTATGGTAAGACTTTTCCAAACTGATTCATCGAACACCGGGAGCATATGAGGTTCAACATCCGGAACTCAGAATGGCAGGTGAGTTAATGTTATTTAGGAAAAACACAACAGCGCAAATAAGTTTCAAAACCAACCCGTTACACTGCCAACATTCAAACGTCAGTTTGTACTTACACACAACGAGCCTTAGAATCTTTCGTGATCTGTCGGATATTTGCTCCGCCCTGACCAATGATGGCGCCGACGTACTTCGAGCCGACCACCATTCGAAGAGGTATGTCCGAGATATTTGGGCGAGGATGAAAACCGTCCAGAGCCAGACCTTTGTTGTTCCGGCGTAGAGCTCTGTTCCTGTCCATATACATGGAGACCTAGGTAGAAGAAGCGTATAGCACTCCATGGACGTCGTCATACACACGCGTCGAGCGTGTGTCCGTCTCTGGTCGAGTACCGTCAAGGGAACACCTGCAAATCCGTTGTTTCTGATGCTGTGCAAAGCGG